TTAGTCATGGATCATGATCGGGTCCATTTATACCCCAAGGATACCCTTTGTTGTGTACCCCGTGAAGCAAAATAAAATAATCAAAATGTATGATTTATGTATTTATATATGTACTAGTGTATTTACACATATGTCTATTTATAAATTATAGATGCACAATAACAATTTTAAATTTAAAGGGTAGCCCCAATTCAATCCCTTTACAATTAGACTAGCAAAGCGGCCCTTGCTTCGTAGGGGCTGGATTGGAATTGTATCATACTGCACACGATCAAATAAAGTCTACAGTAGAAGAAACCTTTGAATAGTGAAAATTCAAAAGCATAAAAAAAACAATGGTTTTTGAACCGCCATTGACCTAGACAGATAGACATTTCAGTCTGGGAACCGTCCAGGCAACCAGTTCCATTTTACCCCAATCCCACTCCCTAGACAAAAACCATTGAATCAGTCAACGACCCATTGATTCGAGCAGTTAAACTGTCGACCCGTTCAATGTTTTTTGGCCTTTTTTTTATTTTTTTAATTGGGAACCATCCAGGCAACCAGTTCCGTTTTATCCCAATCTCGGTCCCTGGCCAAAAATCGTTGAATCGGTAAATGATTCATTGACCCAGGTAGTCAAACCGTTACTGTCAATCCGGAAACCGGTGGTCGAATGGTTCCGCTTTCAGGTCGTATGAGTCACATGCTCGAATGACATAACACGTAGGGTATTGCTTAATGGACCTCACACACTCAATTTTTTGCTTGTAATTTTTATTGTCAAAACAGGTCGTTCGTTCAAACCGGATAGTTGAACCGTTGACCAAAAAACTGGTGGCCAAAACGGTTCCGTAATTTTTTGCCTTTAATTTTTGTTGTAAAAATGGGTCATCCATTCGAACCGGATGATCGAACCGTCGACCCGAAAATCGGTAGCAGTTATATATATATATATATATCTTATAATCTTATAAACCAGTACAGTTTGAGAATTTTCAATGATGAGTTTTCATTGAATTGCCCGTTCTTGTAATTTGAGAACCGTCTACCCAAACTGTGTCCGTTCTTATAATTTTCATTGAACCGTTGAACCGTGTTGCCATTTGGCAAAAGGGAAGACCACCCATTTCCCTTTAATATATAGGGATAAGTGGATTATAATCCATCTCAAAAAACTGAATTGCAGCCCCCTGTAAAACCGCATCCTGGTCGTGGATTTGGCATCAATCTACGGGCAGGATTCAGTCCACCCCTAGAAATCTTAGCTCATAAGTCTTAACACTATCTAAATTACAATTTTTCCATGATATCGTAGTAAATTACTACCATTTGGCGAATTTCGTATATATATATATATAAACATTGATCCATATCCACTATATTTAAATTATTAAATATGTGCTAAAAATTCATATTTCATCTACTGGAAAAATTGATTTAAATGTGGTATTTTTAATAAATTGTCATAGGTTTAAGTTTTACACCAATAACTTTTAATTTCATTTTGGTTATGAATATCATATCAAAGTTACCATTAATAATATATAATATTTTCATAATTTTTATTTAAACACTTACTGTAATTTCACATATTTATCATTTATTTTGTATATTATTAAAACACTTTATAATTCATATTTGTTGTTCTTAAGGCTTAGTTTGTAATGAATATAAATACAAATTTGTAGAGTATAAAACCTTGCATTTTATATTATTTTGTATGTATTTACACTACTTATATTTGCATTCCTTCCAAACTGAGCATAACTTATTCTCCATCATGAACCATTTGTATTTCAATGGGGCCATGGTTGCATGATTTCTTTGTAGTTGGACCTACAAAAGCCTCAGGTCCTTATGGTATTTGTGCTAAAATGTATCAACACTTTTGGGATGAGATTGGTGGGGAATTAATATCCTTTATTCAAGATTTATTTTATCATCTAGATAAAATTCACTAGATAAATGGAACTCATATTGTTCTCTTACCAAAAAAGGATTGTGTTGAAATTGCTTATGATTTTCAACCCATTGGGTTAACAAATGTCGCATATAAAATTGTGACCAAAATCATTACCTCTAGACTCAAAAGTTTGTTGCCCCGTCTCATATCACCAATGCAAAATGCTTTCACTCCGGGGTGATAAATTCTAGACAATCGGATAATAGTTTCTAAAGTTATCGACTCTATAAAGAAAAAGAAAGGTAGATAAGGGTTATTTATTTTGAAGTTAGACCTTAGCAAGGCATATGATATAATGGAATGGCCTTTTTGATGCATGTATTACGTTTAAGAGGATTTTTCGAACAATTTTGTGATTTGATCATGAAATTGTATTTCTACTAATTATTTTTCTATCATGTTGAATGGGATTCCCTCCAAGCCATTTCAACCTCATCGAGGATTATGCCAAGGTTGCCCTCTTTCACCTTATTTATTTATTTTGTGTGTGGATGTTTTATCTAAACTACTATTGTGGGACCTTGAATATGGACATTTGCACGGGGTTAAACTTGGGGCAGGTGGAGGTGTGCTGAATCACATAATGTATGCTGATGATATTTTAATTTTTGTAAGGAGCACTATGCAGGAAGTCAGCTGAATTAAGGAAATTCTATACATGTTTTGTTCTTGGTCAGGTCAACAAACCAGTTACGATAAATCATCAATCTATTTTAGCTCTAATGTCCATAGACGTTGTCACTGAATGTTAACTTCCTTTATCGGGGTTAACACGATGAGGGGTGACGAATTATATTTGGGTTATAGTTCTTCATGACATTAAGAGTTGTAAAGAAGATGGTTCGAGGGTGATTGAAAATGTCAAATCAATATTGGAATGATGGAAAGGCCATTGTTTGTCTCATGCGGGTAAGGCAATTTTGCTTCGTAGTACAGTGTCTGTTCTCCCTACATACATCATGAGCACTAAACCATTCACATCTTCCCATTGTCAGCAACTTACATATTTGTCCCGCAATCTTTGGTGGATTTTTTTACTGATAAGAAGCATTTATATCTACGCAAGTGGACTGATATTACTACTAAATTGTCAGGAGGTTTGGGTTTTAAAGATTTTTGTCGTCTCAATATTTCCCTTGTCTCTAAATTATGTTGGAGATTTTTTATTGAGCATTCACATCTATGGGTAAAAGTTTTAGAGTCCAAATATCTTCAACAAAAAAATTGTTGGACGATTTCTTCCAAAAGCATAGGGACTTATATTTGGACGAGTATGCTTAAATGTAGAACTTATCTTAAGCGTGGTTGCCAATGGTGTATTGGGAATGGTTGGTCTACAGATGCCTTGGCTGATCCTTGGTTGCATAAACCTTGGACTATTCCCAGTACCAATTTCTCTCTCCCTCATGAGATACTTGTACTACATGTGGCATATTTTATTGACCCTCACACTGGTTCTTGGGTGCATGAACAACTTTCTCATTTTTTTGATTCTTCAACGGTGCAACTCATAAAGACCTTACTTCTACCAACAAATGTGGAGGATATTGATGACAAGTTGGTCTGGACACTTACTCATCATGGGAGGTTTACAACGTCTTCCATGTACAATCTCTTGTCAACTGATGATGCACACCATTCTAATGCATGTTATGCTTTTGGCACAATAACGTGGAAGAGCTTTTGGAGTATTAAGCATTTGCCTCCACGGGTACAATTCTTTCTTTGGAGATGCTTAACAAATGCTATTCCCTACCATTGGTCGATTGGCTAACTATATTACTGGTATTGACCCTACTTGTCGCTTATGTGGCACTACTGTTGAAACCATTCACCATCTATTTTTTGGTTGTCCGATGACCAGATCAATTTGGTTTGCATCATGTTTAAACCTAAAAGTTGATGAACATATAGACTGGAGTCTACAGGATTGGCTATATCATTGGTTTAAATTTGAATATTCTTTTAATGAAAGCCGATTATCTTATTTTACTATTGCAAGCATTTTCATGTGGTAGATATGGAAATCTATATGTAATATAATCATGGAAAATCGGGCATTTGAACCTATGATAGTTATCTTCAAGGCCCAGTCCCAAGTGGAGGAAATTCGATGCTCTTTGTTGATTAATGGGGATATTTCTAATACTACCATCTCAAGGCTGGATGACTCTTCCCACTTTTGGCAGAAACCTATCCCTCCTATGTACAAAATCAACTTTGATGGTGCTTTTATCGTCTTCAGATGGGGGATTAGGTGTTGTGATCCGTGATCACTCAAGTGCTTTTATTTATGGCAGATCCATTAAAGTTCCTAAAGCTTATCTAGAAGAATTAGAAGCAAAAGCTGTTCATGCGGCCCTTTTGTTTGCTTTAGATCTAACGCTTTCTTCCATCATTATTTAGGGAGATTATAGATTTGTGACTACAAGTCTATTGGAGTTTGGCTCTCACGCTCCTTGGTGGATTACATGTTGATCACAGATTGCAGAATTTTTATTAGAAATTTATCCCACTGCTCAATAAATTGGGTTGCTAGTTCTAGTAATATGGCCGCTCATATGTTGGTCAAACATGCCATAACTATTTATCATTTGCATACATGGTATTTATGTCCATCTTTTTTATATTATGCTATCTTTCAAGATTGTAATGATGAGCGGTTAAATTAATAAATTTGGTTATGATAGTGCCTCATAACCTATTGACATTCAAAAAAAATTAATATAAAAGTTATAGATGATAGATTTTAATAATAAATACGTGAAATTATAGGAGTGTCTGAAATCTGAATAAACATCCATTTATTTATATCAGTTCGGACCCGATATAAGTCCAATCGGTAAGGTCCGATTAGAAATATTTTTTGGTAGAAACTAGAAAGATTGAAATAGAATTAAACAATAAAATTTGGATCTAACCATATCCGCTTCGATTCGAGCCGAACTTAAACAATAAAATTTGCATCTAACCATATCCGTTTCGATTCGATCCGTTTAAAGCCCTAATTGATGCGAGAAAGGGGTTTTTAATAGATGAATTGGGTGGATGGTAATACCTGTTACCCTGTATAAGGGAGACTATTGCAAAATTACAATTTCACACCTATGGAGTCATGGACAAGGCAAAGGATGCGCGCTACAAATCCCATTCACTGAGACACTGACGACTGTCTTTTGTTTCCGTCATTTCATCCACTTTACTTGCTGAAACTTCTGCTCCGTGATCCCTGCGGGGATACAGAAGTGCAATGGAAGCCGAATTCGGAAAGTATCGTCTTAACTGCGAACTCAGAGGTCACGAAGGCGATGTAAGATATCCCACTCATTGAAATCTTTGCTCCATTTATGTTGACGTTTCTCATTCGCCATTGGTGTCATTTTTTTTTTTTTCTGTTTTCCTTTCCTTTTTTTTAAGCTTCTGTAATTGAGTAAAAGTGCCATGATTTCTACTACATCCTCACATATTTTGTACGCGAGTAATTGAGTATGTATATGATGTGCATCCACCAAGTATCATCTTGGTTTACTCCCTCCTCCCCCTAGAGAAACAAGAAGGGAAAAGGAGTAAGAAAATCTTCAACCAAAATAATCCCGCAAACTAGATTTATATGCTGGCCTGATGGCATTTAAATGCTCATTAGTTCCCTTATCAACCATTTCTTCTTCTTAACTGGACGGATGACGTTTAGATGTTCATTGGGTTCTTTATAAACTCTCTGCTCTGTTATCTGGGCGAACAGAGTTTGAACACTCCTTAGATCCCTCATGGACAACATTGTTAATAGATCCATCGCAACGGAATTCTCTGTGACTTCTTCTCCATTTGATGGATGTAGACCCACAATATTGGTGGATAATAGCTGAACTGATCATCTTTATGCTCAATACAAGAGCAGTATCTCAAATATTTAGTATTGCACGTTAGTTTATTGGTTTCACCATAATAAATGATCATTGCATGCTACGGCGTTACTTGTTCTTTTACCAGAAGAAGATTAAATTGGGGGCATTTTGAGGTTGCTAAAGTGATGAAGGCTACACCAATTTTAGCATCTGGCAGCTTTATTCTTGAGCCTGTGTTAGAACCTTCACATGATTAAATGTTATATGTTCATTGACTTGAAACCATGATCATCCAAGAGTAGGAGGACCATGTAACCATGGCATGTAATGTGAGCATTGGGCTTCTTTGGCCCAGCAAAGAAGCTGATTACTTGCACACATAAAAAATTTCAAGTGCTTTTATTTTTTTATTCCATATATTGTTTTTGATAAAAGTACAATGAGTGTATCAAAATCCAATCCATTACTTTGGCAATGAAAGAAGGCAAATTAGGGTTTGAAGCACCAGAATCCCATTATCAGAGCACTATAGTCCTACATGCTTTCAATATGGTTATCTTATTTATTTACAAGATAGAGAATGATTCAGTGAGGATCAGTCAACTGAGTTGCTAGTTATAAAGTAGATAATTCAAGACAGACAAAGGACAGTCAAATTAGTTGCTAATTCTGGTGAAGTCCAAGATCGGAAAGATTAACACCTGTTATGTGTTGCAGAAAAGAAGTCCAAATAAAAGACTTTCCTCTCATATGTGTCTCCTCTGCAAGGACAGTAGTGAATCTGTTTCTCATATCTTTATATCTTGTCCCCTTGTGCTTTGCATTTGGAAGCATCTTTGTTCTCTAATTGGATACAGATGGAATCCTCCTCAGGATGTGGTGGGCATCTTTATCCTAACTTCTTGAGGCAACCAAAGAAAAGAGGAAGACTTCTTGGGATTTGGAAAGCAGTAAGGGCTGCTGTGGTATGGACCATTTGGGAAGAAAGGAATGGAAGGATTTTTAATGATAAAAGCAGGACTGAGGAGGAAATTACTGATTTAATCAAATTAAAGGCTGTACATTAGGTGAAAGCTATGGAGACTTTCCAAATTTTTTCCCTCAATGACATTTTGAGGTCATGGAAAGAGGTGGCACTCTCAGATCAAGTCAAGGTGAGGCAAATCATGGTTTGGAATCCCCTGGCTCAAAACTTCTTAAAGCTCACTTTTGATGGAAGCTACACTGGTAATATGGCTATGGCTGGGATAGGGTGTGTTTTCAGGAATTCAGAAGAAATGGTGGTGGCTTTGTACTCAGGACCATTGGAACACAGAGATGCACTGACAGCAGAAATGACTAGCTTATTCCATGGCTTAAAATTTGCAAAACAATTTGGCTTATACAATCTAGAAGTGGAAGGGGAGTCCCAGGTGGTTATCTCCTTGACAAGAGCAAATTTTCAAATCCCTTGGGTCTTCCAGCAAACATATTGGGAGAATGAGTACTTAATAAGGGGGCTAAATGTTTCTATCAAATGGGCGAGAAGAACAGCAAATGGAATGGCAGACACTCTATCCAAACAAGGGGCCTTAAGAAAACAATTATTCTGGGCTATTCTGTGAAACTTTTGGGGTGGATCTTGCACAAATCTGATTGTAATATTTGAGATACATTAATAAAATTTCTTCAACTGATAAAAAAAATTCTGGTGAGGTCCAAGATCTGCAAATTCTGTTGTAATTAGCTTACTAATGGAATGGTAAACAGGTCTATGTTTCCTTTTTTTTGATAAGTAACGGGGTCTATATTTTATCAAGGAGCATTTTTTCCCAGGGTGATGTTGTGTTCCTTCTATCTTGTTTTTGTTCTGACAGAGTGACTGTTATTCTATTACCCTCAGCGTTAAGGTTTAAGGAGGAAAATTTGTGGTTGTAATTATACCACCATCTACACATCAATAAACTCTTTTGATACTGTTACATATAAAAAATTAATAAATTTCTGTTTGAGTTTGAGATTTTTTTTTGTCGCCTTTTGCACATTGCTTGTTATATATATATATATCATGCATATATATATATATATTTATTTATTTATGTGTTGCTAGTCATATCTCATGTATCCATCCCTCTTCTTGACCATATAGGGGCAGGGTTTTACAGTCCATAGTTCTTTGATTGTTGGTATTGATACAAAATATCAACATACCACTTGCCTATAAAAAATGAATCCTCTTTGGTATAACAGATACCTTTTTCAGAATATGATTATCCCACTCAGCTTGCTTATTAATAGAAACAAACTTATTGAGAATGTAAAAAATGCCATTCCATATTCAATGAATAGAAGTCCCTTCTGGCTCATGTCATTTGACCTAACATGTTCTTCCAACAATTGGAGTCTAAAGAATATCTTTCTCTTAGTATATGGTAGTGACTTTGATTAGTTATAATGGTCTACAGGGGCAATAGGAAAAATGTCAAGATACTTTTTAGATGATCTACCATTCCATTTCTATGTTAGAATGCTGAAATGGGGTCATTTGTGATCTTGAAAATTTGTGCTATCCTGTGTTCCTCATTTTGTGTCAGTTGGTCTGGTACTGCAACTCACCTGTCTTGCATGCAGGCTGTATTCAAGCAGATGGATGTGCCTGTTGGGATACTTTCAAGAAACTATTTGTGTATTCATACTTCATAGGGATAACTGGATGATACTATTTATGATATAGTTCAGATCTTTCAAAATAACAGCAGTGTTATGTGGAGCTGAATCTGAACTATTGTAATTTCACGTTGGTAATCCAAAATCTACACGCTTGTGGTGCATCATCATGTCCATGTGAAGACATTCATTTTATATATCAATGTTATCGTTATTCCTGATTGCAGGTGCACTGGATCATTATCATCATCTAAGCCTTATCCCTACTATATGGGGTCGGCTACATGAATCCTGTTCCACCATTCCATTCTCTTGCTTAACATAAAAGCCATTATTATTTATCCCATTTGAAAATATATGGTGATGATCTTGACACTATCTATTTACTTTCCTATTAGGCCCGTGGGATATGCATTTGTGGTGATGCTGGGATAGCAACCTCCTCAAGAGACAGAACTGTCAGATTCTGGTCCCAGAATCCAGATAAAAAGCACAAGTACATGCTGTCTAAAATAATGTTGGGGCATACCAGTTTTGTGGGTCCATTGGCTTGGATCACTCCTAATGAGAGGTTTCCAGAAGGTGGACTTGTATCCGGTGGCATGGACACAAATGTGTTGCTTTGGGATTTGAAAACAGGAGAGAATGTGCAAACAATGAAGGGACATCAACTGCAGGTTACTGGTCTCACCATAGATGCTAATGGAGACATTGTGTCCTCGTCAGTTGACTGGTAAGCAAACATTTAGATTAGTGTTCTGAATGTAGTTTCCAGATGCATTCTCAAAATCTTCTCCTTGCCTTGCTTATGCTCTTGATGTGTGTGTCTTTTCATTTTTACTAAGTAGTTCATGATGGAACAATTATAGATACTCTGGGAGGAAAGAGAGGATGCAGGAAAGTCAGTAAGCCCATCAAACAGTACTGATTTGTATTCACTCTTAGTATAACCCCCTCCATGCGACGAAAAGAAAAGCAAATTAGGGCTGCAGTATCAACTGTCTTGTTCATCTGAAAAGTTTGGATCACATAGTATTGTTCATCACATACATACTTTTTGCTCTTTTGAATACCCTTCAGAAAGAAATCCGTGCCCTTGGGCTGGGCCCATTCAAATTTCAATAAATGCTCAATCTGAGCCCACCCAACTTGCAGCCCTATGGACTATTTTAATATTTTATACTTTTCTATAGATGTGTCTGTGCATGCTTGTTTGTTTCTTGCCAAGTCAGCCTCTTAGATGCACATCAGATTTTGATTCCTGTGTTTGTGTCCATGCAACACTAGTAAATGGAAGGTAGCTTCGCAACTTGCTCTGCTTAAGAAACAGTCATGAGGTGAAAGGTGCTAATTTAGTATTCTTTTTAGAATATTCTGACTAGTGTTGATTTTCACAAGTATTACCTCCCAACAAAACACCCTGATCTTGGGTGGTACTGGTCCTCCCAAACTGCCTCCACTAGGAAAACCATTTGGGGAGAGGGGATCAGTCTAGAGAGCCATAAAAAGGGCATAGCCAAAAATAGACCTGAAGAATTTACAAACCAAATTCTGCAGTCACTCTTGGCTCTATAAAATAAAACATCCAAAGACTGAATGATTACCATGACTTTAGAAAGTTAACCTTCCCATAATCCTCTCCTAATGCCCAAATCCCATACAAACCCTTGTTCAGAAAAAAGGAAATGCAATTTTATTGTTACAATGCTAGTAAGTTTCTTATTTGAAGGTGTTTATTTATTGATTATTTCTGTATGAGGTCTTCTGGACCATCATTTGGTTTATTTTATGTATTGTCTTTTTATTTTCTTGGGCTTCTGCATGATAGTACTATACGCTGCTGGAGGAATGGCCATGCTGTTGAGTTTTGGGAAGCTCATAAGGCAGCAGTCCAAGCGGTCATAAATCTACCATCTGGTGAGCTTGTTACAGGTATGATCCCTATTTTCTGATATGAGCCCATAAGTTTGTTTATCTTCTAAATCTTTTCAACTGCCTTCTCGATTTTATTGGACAAAGTTTAGTTGTGAGCTTTGGAGAATGAATTCACTTTATATGTTCTGTAACTCTTTTGTTAATTTCTTTGCCATATTTTTAATGTATTCTTTTTGGCTAACTAAATGGAGACCACTGAAGTTAAACGTATCCAAATACTTTTTTAAACTGTATAAAAAATAGGGCAGAATAGAGTAATGGTTGATAAAGTTTCATTGGATTGGGAGATTTTGTTATAAGATTACAGACTGCGCTGTCAAATTAGAATCTAATATCTTTGTTATATATAGGTTGATTCATCATTTCACTGGGGGTGATAAGATATCGCCCTCACACAAGAAGAGAATGATCCTTCGTCCACACCCCAAACAGAAAGAGGCCCACATAAACATATCTAACAATTCACTTGGAAAAACACAAAGAATGGTATGCCCAAGACTTGACAACATGATACAAAGAGCCTAAAACATCCCAATTCAGATGCTAAGGTATCCTCCATCTCTTCTCAAGTCTCAGCAAAAATTACTTTAAAGTTTGAAACACCTATCTTATACTTGAATTAACTCCACTTCCCAATAAAATCCATCCTATCCAATCATCTCTTATATCTTTAGCAGCCAATCAATTCAAAACCAAAACTCTAATCTCCTTGATCCCATGTCAAAACCATATAGAAACCCATGCAAGCAGTTTATATTGACTTATCTCTTCCTCTTTCTTGATCTTCTAGTTCCATAAAAACTTTTTCTTGCAAGGTTTTTCCCCTATAAAGAACAATACCAACTTGCAATCTCAGAAGGTGATTGGGAGTGGCCATGAGGCGAATGGGATATACCCATTGGATATGCCTGGACAGATTCAAGTATCGCCTCAGAGAGTAGCTTTTGGTTCAAATGTGTCAGAGTCAGTTAGTCGTATTATGTTATGTCATTATCATTTGGGTCATATTTCTTTTTTTTTTGTTGAGTCTTTTGTTTCCAACTCTGTTTAAGGAAATTAAGTTGTCAAGTCTACATTGTGAGTCATGCGAGTTGTCAAAGCATTGTAGAAATTCTTATTCTACAAGTAATGAAAGATCTATAGTTCCTTTTCATATTGTTCACTCTGATGTGTGAGGGCCATACCATTTACTTTGCATGGGTGGTTACAAATACTTTATTCTATTTATTGATGATTTTTCTTGTTATACCTGACTTTACCTTATACTTTCTTGTGCTAAAGTACCCAAACTTGTGAAGCAATTTCGTGAATTTGTGCTTACTCAATTTGATATTTGTATTAAGATATTCTAATTAGACAATGCCAAGGGATATTTTGAGAAGGATCTTGATTCATACTTTGAGAGGTTTGGGGTTATACATCATAGTTCTTGTCTTCGTGCTCCAGAGTAGAATGGAGTGGTAGAGAGAGAATCGACATGTTGAAGTAGCCAGGAGCATCCTTTTTGCCTCCCATGTTCTAGTGAGATTTTGGGGTGATGCGGTCATGACAACTACCTATCTTATTAATCGCATGCCTTCTCGAGTCTTGGAGTTCAAATCTCCCTTTGCTATCCTATTCCCTGAAGGTGAAGTATTTCCTATTCCTTTGCATGTCTTTGGTTGCACATGTTATGTTTATGTTCCTAGCTCTCCATGGATGTCACATTTGCAGAGTTACTTCCTTTTTATGGTCATTCTCCTGAGGGGGAGCATTCCATTGAGTTGTTTGCTTCACTACTTCCTCTGACTTTTCCTATTGACCTTGGGGTTGAATCTCATGTAATTTCTTCTGTTTCATTGGCAGAGTTTTCGTCTCCTAGTTTTTCTATTCCTGCTCTTGCTCCTCCTCTTGTTAGTCCTCCAGTTTTCACTAGTCATCCTATTGTTCAAAGGTGGCACCAAAGATAAAGGCTACAACATGAACATGTTGTCCCCCCATCTATTGTTGAGCCTTAAACATTCCCAATTCTTGAAGAGAGGACAAATCCTTCATCACCTGCTCCAGAACCTCCCTTTCCAGACAGTTTTCACTGTCTTACAACATGTTGTCCCTATCTTATTATTCGTTCTTATCCTCTATTTTCTTTTCAGCCTATACCCAAATCAGTTATAAAGGACTTTTCTAAGCTAGAATGGAGGGAGGCTATGAGAACTGAAATAGAAGCACTTCGCATAAATAATACTTGGGATATTGTGGATTTGCGTCATGGGAAAGAATTAGTGGGATGTAAGTGGGTGTTCACTATCAAGTATCATGCTGATGGCACCATTGAGAGGTATAAGGCTTGACTAGCAGCCAAGGGGTATACTCAAGTATATGGATTTTCTTATATGGAGACCTTCTCACCAGTTGTAAAAATGACCTCAATAAGAGTTTTATTGTCCTAGGCAATGAGTTATGACCGGACATTACATCAGTTTGATGTTAAGAATGCTTTCTTAAATCGAGATTTGATTAAAGAGGTTTATATGTAACTTCTCCTAGGCATGTATGGTAAGGAAATGCAAGGCAAGGTATGCAAGTTGAAGAAATTCCTTTTATGGCCTCAAGCAATCCCCACGAGCTTAGTTTGATAGATTTAGAGTTGCACTTGTGGAGTTTGGCTATACACAGACGCAGTCTGACCATACCTTATTCGTGAAGAGGAGAGGTACTTAGGTTACCTTCCTTATTGTTTATATTGATGATATTGTGGTTACAAGGAGTGGTATAGAGAAAGTTCAAACACTCAAGACCTTCCTTAACTCAGAATTTGAAATTAAAGATTTAGGGGAGTTGAGAAATGGGAGTCGAAGTTGCTAGGTCTAAAGATGACATCTTCATCTCCTAAAGGAAGTATGTTCTAGATCTTTTCATGGAGATTGGGAATGTTCTAGAGACTTTTGGGGATGTTACTATACCTTTATATGACACGACCTGATATCTCATATGCTGTTAGTGTGATTAGTCAATTTATGCATGCCCCTAGAGACACACATATAGCTGCTGTAGAACGGGTTTTGTTACTTGAAGGGAACTCCAAGAAAGGGTATCCTCTTCTCTAGGCATGGAAACATGAATCTAGAGGCTTAAAAAGATGTCGGCTGGGTTGGTAGTATTGATGATAGGAGATCTACATTGGGTTATTGTGCCTTGGTTGCAGGGAACATTGTCTCCTGGAGAAGTAAGAAACAGTCAGCTGTAACTAGATCTTCAGTTAAGGCAGAGTACAGGGCAATGACACATGAAGTTTCAGAGTTGTAATGGCTTAGGTCACTCCTAGAGGAGATGGGTATTACACATGATAAGCCCTTAATGCTGTATTGTGATAACCAGACTGCGATTAACATAGTTTTCAAATTTCAACCCAGTTCAGCATGATAGGACACACCATATTGAAGTTGACCAGCATTTTATAAGAGAAAGGGTGGCTTTTGGAGAAGTTTGTCTTCCTTTCATTGCCTCTAAGCAATAGTTAGTAGATGTTCTGACCAAGGGTGTCCCCAATAGCAGGGAGATGGTTCAGGAAGCAGGAAAGGTAATGAGTGTTGAGAAAGTTAAGAGGACAGATGAAGAAGAAGGAATGTGGTCCTTTGTGTTATATTTATTCTCAAAAGGCCTCCTATTTCTCCCAATCCATCTTGACCAAATCATTGCTTCCAGCACCACTCCCCATATGATCTTCCCTTTTTTGGACAAACCTTTTTGCTGCCAACCCTCTAGCAATGCCTCCAGATCCTTTGGAAAGCATATCTGTACCTTAAAAAGTCCCAATGGTTGTACCCATAGCTTCCTTGCAAACTTGCAATGGATAAATAAATTGCCTGCCTCTTCAGTAGCTTCTCCACACATTACACACCTGCTTGGTTCCACCAACATCCCTCTGCTAGCAAGTTTGTCTGCTGTTAGACACTTTCCCAAAGTGGTTTTGTCCATATAAAAAAAATAGCTACTTTTGTGCTTCAAAAATTGTCGGTGGAGACAAATCTTTCCCTTATAATTGTTTGATGATGCCTACAGATTACTTATGGATTGATAACTTGTTGTAGTGATTCCAAAGGTTTCCATAGGATGGATTTATTTATTTATTATTTTGAATTGGCATGCCATTATGAGTGCAAAGGGTGGTAAACTATAAAGTCACAGTCTCTGTTTTGTTCCTTTACATCCTTGTATAAATCAGTAGATAACTGGGTGCAACTCGTTTTCAAGTCTAATTTCAGCAGCTAACCTTTTGTATTTAGTCACACCGTAACCGGATCTTTATAGCTATCTCTTTGTAATTAGTCATGTAGCATTTAGAAATTTTGGTATGGCTTGGAGGGAAGCTCTCCCTCCCTCATATTTTGAATATTACTATAAATACTCCTTATCACTTATCAAAAAAAGGCACTATTTCCAAATATCCCCAAAACCTCTCCAGTCATGGTGGAGGGGAAGTATGAAGCATCAAACAAATCTTACTTTTATGTCTTATCAGTTACATATATATGATTTTTAAGATGGCTCCTTATGAAATTAATGATACCTCCCTATGCTTGTTTGAGCAAGAACCTTTCCTGTTTTCCCACGTGTATAATTAATGCACTTTCATTATGACTTCATTATTGTTACCAATAATGAAAAAGGTTCAATTTTTGTTCTTGGACTTGGAACCAAGAAAGCTAGGCTGATGTTTTGAATGTGGGACCACTGTGGGAGACTTGATTACTCTGAGTGATGTTTTGGCTTCAACTTTTATGGTGACATGCTAGATTCTATGTTCATACAGGTTCAAGTGATTCCACCTTAAAGCTTTGGAGGGGGAAGAGTTGCCTACATACATTTGTTGGGCACACAGGTTTGTTTTTCTACTCTCTTTTGCAGAATCTGGTACTTGTCGATGTGTCTGTATATTTCCATTTTTTAGGCATTTTTGCTTGTTCAAAGCAATAAGCATAACTGTCCTTTTTTGGATGATTAACTAGAGAACTTATTCGTATGAAAGATGAATAAAAAAGAAAGGAAATATCAACCAGGTGTATGGAAGACTCCAACCTAAAGTATATGTGGCTTGTACAAATGAAACCAATACAAAGAAAGCAAAACAGTAATGAATAAAAACTGTTCCTTTTCACTTTTCATTTCTATCAACTGTAGATGGAAGGTATACAAAAGAGGGGGCTGATTCTGATTGTGGTGACAACGATGATTGTAAGAGCAACCAAAGCTGATGTCATGGATGAAAAAGCAGTGAAAAGAAATCTCCAGATTGAAGTGGAATCGTTCAATATTGAGGTTCTTTTGGGTCCAAAGGGAATCTATTATTGAAAGGGATAGGGGTTTTTGGACCCAGTTGAACTTGTCTGAAAATGAAACCTCAGGACTTCTTAGATTCCACTCTAGGGTTTTAGGTGATGCTTACAATGCTCCAAGCTTTAGGAAATTCTTGGGAAATGGTTGTCATTTGATCATACATCTGACAGCCAATGACTGCCGCCGGGGGGGTACATGCATTTTGCATCTTGGGTGGGGGAGGAGAATGCTAGGGGGATATGCATCCTGGAAGGCGATTCTGGCCTCGGTTGGTGATCCCTTATGAATACCTTGAAGCCTTTATCTTTGAAACCTTCAAAACATGAATACCTTGAAGTCATATAGTTCACTTGGGGGGTAGGTAGCTTCATTATTATCGTGCACCCTACCAACCCGTTTGGGATTTGGAAAGTAGACTTTGTCTATGACAGGCAGGGTGATATTGATTGGTATGATGCGGAGAGGGGTTTGTCTACCAATTTTCACTCTTTGGCTTTGATTAATCTTAGACTGTTGGAGAAAAACATTGATCTTGGGTTTGCAGAGTCGGGATATCAGATTAATAAATGGGTTCAGTGAAGGTTGATATTAATCTATCAAGAGAAAATTACCATGAGACAATGGTGGTCCCTCATCAACTCAGTGAAGCTTGATATCTTCAAAAAAAAAAAAACCTCAGATGATAGCTCTCTATCTTTTGATGGTTAGATCGAGATTAGGGATCTTCTCTTTCATCTCTGCTCCGGATCCACCTTAACAATCATTTTGCTTAGCACTTCAGCCACAAAGGTAAATAGGAAGGGGGAAATGGGACCTCCCTGCCTTAATCATCTTTTCGCTGGGAAGAAATCCTTAGATACTCCATTTACCAGAACCGAGAAGTGTACTGAACTAATACATCCTTTAATCCATTTCCTCCACCTCTTGCCCAACCCAAACTTTTCCAAAAGAACTAGAAGGAAGGACTAATCCACCATATCGTAGGCTTTTTATATATCCAACTTACAAATTAGGCCTCTTTTTTCAAGCATTCAACACAACACCCTCTCTGCTTGTACCCACGTGGCCCACTTCCAGATTAGCTAATTTCTCACCATAATTACCATTTTGGCCCTGAGGATGTGCAGGCCTGTCTAATGAACTTTACATTCTTTTTAAGTAAATCTTGCCGACCACTTGTCTGCCTAGAGCTACCATCTAATAATGCTTATGCATAGGTTTATCTCCCAAGCATTCTAATCTAGCTTCTGATTTCTTCCCCTTTAAGTTCCCTCCTCAAGGCTTTCCTTGTTCGTGAAAGCCTCCCCAAATTTTGGATGGGCCAATCCCTTGAGGCCATCTAACCCTTCATCAACCTGCTCATCTTCTACTCTCCTGCCTTCATGCCACAGGGAAGCTTCAATAGCTGTCATCAACCAAATAGTGTAAAAAACTCCATCTGCAAGGATCTCAGTCTTTCGAGGGATATCTTCTGGTTTTACATTACTTAAACTTACTGCTGCTGAATGCAGATCTTTTACAAAAAGACCATCCAATCTAGCCTTGCATAGAGAGGCAATGGAGTGGAAAACTTCTGGTTTCCATAGGTGAAATGGCAGCTCCAAAATCCAAACAACAACTCTATCCTCAACAGTCAGGTCTTTGGAATTGTCTTTTTCCTTGTTTGGGTGTAGGTGGAATCCTACGATTGATGTTCAATGCCTTTTTGCACCAACTTTCCTTGCATGGCCAAAGAAAAGAGGAAGACTCATGTGGAGATGCTTAAGAGTGGTAACAGTGTGGACAATTTGGGAAGAAAGAAATTCTAGAATTTTTCTAGAGAAAGAGAGAAGCAAGGAAGATATAATGGAAACAATAATGATTAGAGTGGCACATTGGCTGAAGTCAATGGACACCTTTTCAAATGTGTCAATGGATGATTTACTTAGAAAGTGGAAGGAAGTGGCTGAATCTTGCTCACTTAAGACTGTCTCTAGTTATCATTGGTCTCCACCAGAAAGAGGATTTTATCAAACTTAATTTGATGGTAGTAGTATGGGAAATCCAAGAAGTTCAGGTATTGGTGGAGTGTTTAGAGATGAGGAGGGCATGATAATTGCCCTATATTCAGGACTGGCTGGGGAAGGAGATTCTCTTAGGGCGGAAATTTTAGCTTTGATGGAAGGTGTACAAAGGGCGAAAGAATTGAACATTAGAAAACTGATTATTGAGAGAGATTTGAAATCGGTAGTGAGCTGGATACAAAGTGAAGAAATGAAATTGTGGATCTACAATAATGAACAGAAGTTCAGATGGTTGACAAGAGAAATGGAAATCTCTTTCAAATGGATCAAGCGATGTGCTAATTCGGTAGGTGATGCTTTAGCCAAACAAGGGGTGGGAAGAGAGGTATTGTTTTGGGCATAGTTGTAAATTAGGGGTTTTGTTGTGGAGGGAGATAAGAGATCTTGTCTCTCATTGACTTTTATCTCTTACACTTTTATTATTTCTTTTCTATGTACACTCCTATAATTATTTTTTAATAAATTATGCAATTACCAATAGAAAAACTGCTGTTTCTTCAAAGGTGGCATTTTTGGGTAAATTGCTGAAACCACCCCTGAAGTTTCTAACCACTGCTGAAACTTCCCCTAAAGTTTGGTAAATTGCAATCACCTCCCCTGAACTTTCTAGCACAGTTGCAAGTAGACCTCCTCTGTTAGAATCATTTAACAAGAGGCATGAAAATGTCCAAAATACCCATGCAGTTACTTCTGACCAAACTGTTTATTTTCCAAATTTTCTCTTGTATCAATCACTACCCCAAATCCTTCCAATCTCTTTTTCTGAAATTGATTTATTTTCTAAATTTCCCCTTCATATCAATTGCTCAAAGGTAAAACTGCAACTTACACTCTTTTTTTGTTGTTTTTTTGATGAGTAATAGTAAAATTTTATTAATTCATAACCTGATTTAGAAGTGTAATTAGAGGCTGTCTTACTATACTCTGGCCCTTTAGGTGTTGGGAACTCTATTTGGGCAGAGCTGTTAGCTGCAATACAAGGAATAATTCTTGCAAAAGAAATGGGTGTAGAGCAGTTTCTGGTTGAAGGGGACTCTAAGACAGTGGTGAACTGGTTAAGTAATCCGGATGATGTCACATGGGACTACAAGAATGAGATAAAGAAACTGTAATGTCTGACAAGGAATATGTCTGTAACAGTACAGTGGGTTGGGAGATCAGCTAATGCATTTGCTGATGTCTTGGCAAAACAAGGGACAAACAGGGAAATATTGTTCTGGGTGCAACTGTAATTTGTGTCTTTTTAACAGTCATGGACTTTTTGATGTAGTTTTGTGTTTTCTGTATGGAGAGGCAGCACCTCATGCTTCTCTAAGGGGATTTTCATGTAACCGATCTTTTGAATTAATGGAATATGACTCTTATAAAAAAAAACAACCATGGAGAGGTGCGAGCTGAGCCCCACCTAGAAGCTTACGAGTACACTAAAATAAATTGCAGAAATCACAGTTGAGCCCAAAACATTTCTTCCCTATTTACCCTTGTTTGGCTAACACATCAGCCAATAGCCATGGCATTTGCTGATCTCCCCACCTACTGTATAGAAACCAACATATTCCTTGTCAGCCACATGACTTTCTTAATTTCATTTTTGTAGCACCAGATGGTATCCTCAGGGTTTTTCAGCATCAATAATATGTTTTTGTTGTTCATAAAGTTAATATTGTTTTTTGTGTTAAAATCAGTGTCAATAATAACTGCATGTTTATTTTGGATATTTACGTGTCTCTCGTTAGAGAACTTTAACCAAGGGGGTCTACTTGCAACTATGACAGAAAGTTCAGGGGAGGTGATTGCAATTACCAAACTTCAGGGGGGGTTTCAGAAATTTACCCTTTTTTTAGTTTGGATGACTACACTTGGAGGTGCTTAACAAAAGACCAGCTGGCAAGAAGAGGAATGATTCTGGAAAGTGAGACCTATTCCTTATGCAATGAATGCTTAGAATCTTGGAATTACCTAAAGGATGAAGAATTTCAGGCTTTCCAGGTAGAGTGAAGGTGCTCTGGACTTTGGGGCATTTTCCTGCTGCTCCTATCTGGACAGTGTGGAGAGAAGAAATATGCGTATTTTTGAAAGTTCTCAGATGTGGATACAGTAAGAAGTAATTTGAAAGGCCTGTTATGTTCTTGGCTAAGCACTCATAAATAATTTCAGTGAATCCAGTCCAACTCTTTTTTTGATGCTGGATCTTTTTCTTGATCAAGGTTCAAAATATCGATATGCCCGATACGTCGGTAGGGGCGTATTGGGTGTTTTGATACTTGTTTTTTTACTTTTTTTTATTATTTTTTTTTTCAAAACTGGTTCAGGGGAGCCGGTCTAGGACCTCTCCATCCCTGAACCGGTCAGACCCCCGATACACCCACTGTAGGGGCGTATCGGAAGGGTCCCGGAACGATACGTATCGGCCGATACGGGCCAATACGTAACGATACTTTGAACCTTGTTCTTGATAATATGTTTTGTTTGTTTTTTCATTGTATATCCTCACTGTACAGTTTCTCAATGTACATGGGTTGCTGTGTACCAAAAAACAAAAAAAAAAAAAAAACCCACCCCTTTTCCCTCCTCTATTGCTTGTAATCTTCTACAAAGACTCCTATGGAGCACCTAACAATTCAACTTTGTTTTGGGTATACATTCATTGCTTTCTGTGGACAATCCTTCTTGCTTGATGAATGTAATGTAACTCATGCCATTTGAGTCTTGCACAGATACGGTTCGAGGTTTAGCCGTGATGCCTGGTTTGGGAATTCTTTCTGCATCACATGATGGGTGAGTTATCTTTCTTTGCTTGTTCCATGTTGCATTGCTGGTATAGATTAGAACTATCGCTGTTCAGGTGCTCATATACTAACTGTAATCTCAATAGCCCATGCTCTTACGTAAGTATGCAGTGAAAGTTTATAATAAGTGTATTAAATAATGTAGTGACTACTAGTTTTTTATTATTGGCTATGTTGTCAGATATGTCATGTGCCTTAACTATGTTATAGAATACTTCTGTCATGTGTGTCTGAATATAAACTCAACTCAACTCAGCCTTAATCCCGACTATTTGGGGCCAGCTACATGAGTTTTGTCCCAGTATTGTGCTCTATCAAGAGACATGTATTCTTTTTGAGAAAAGATAACTGATTTCATTCAACAAGGGAGGGATGTACAAAGCCTTGTCAGCAAAACAAAAACAAAAGACAAAGCCCACTAATAATTTGGCAATGTATGTGCACTATACAAAAAATCCCTTCCCAGCCCAGATTTAGCAAGACTATCAGCCACTTGATTTAACTCTCTAGGAATCCATCTAAAACTGCAATGCAAGAGGTAAGCTCTGTGATTTCTAACAGCAGGTGGGAGAGCTTACATGGGTCAAGAGTCTGTCCAGAGGTCCAATTTAACATTTCTTGTATCTCCTTCCGCTGCAATGAAACGAAGCTGTTGCAACTTGGCAATTCTGAGGCCTTCCAAGGAGGGCCCTAGTCTCTGCTTCTGATGCATCAGCAGCCTTGGAAGGACCACTATAGGCCCAGGTCAATTCTCCATTTGATCTTTGAACCAAACCTCCTATTTCCTGTGTCTGAGCTGTCCTCTATAGCTCTCCTAAAGCTGCCATCAAAGTTCAGAATGTACTCACATTCTTGTCTTGGGGTGATTTTAAAGAAGGCTGAGGGTGAAAGGGAGTGGTTGACAGTGGGTCTGCCCAATTCCTCTGCAGTTCACTCCGATTGATACCCTCAAAGACTTTACTATTCACCATCCAGCTGTTGATATTAGCTAGGATATGATCTCTAAGGCTTCATTTGGAAACGATGTAAAACGTCATCAGTGTAAAAGTACACATGATGTTTTATATTGAACCGTTAAAAAGTAACTGTTTGAATTTCAAAAAGTGTGCATGAGAAAAGCGGAGTTTTATATCGATTTTATTGATGTAAAACTCTGCCTTAATGAACTTTTACATCGGTTTACGATGTAAAACTCCACTCCATCCAAACGTACGCAAAACTGAACCGGAGTGGAGTTTTACGACAATCATGATTGTACACTCCTTCCAAACGCCGACAAAATTGAACTGGCATAAATATTTACACCGATGACGTTTTACATCGGTTCCAAGCGCAGCCCAAGAGTCTCCAAGGAGGAGTAGATCTCATCAAATAAGCTCCTATTTCTTTCCTCCCAGATGTTCCACATGTTAGCATGGATAATTACTTTCCAGAAGCAACTTCCTCTCTTGCCGAAATTAATCTTTAGCCCTTGCTAAGAATTGATAAACTCTATAACAGAGTTTGGGAGAGTCCAGCTGAGACTGCCCCTTGCTAAAGGATCAAGAAAAACTGCCAAAGACTTCTGGCCACAATGCAATTGATAAAAAGATGTCCAATAGATTCCCCACCGTTATAGCACATCAGATGAATAGAAGGAGAGATGTAGAGTTTGCCTTGAAGCTTCTTTTGGAGGTTGTCAAAGTATTCAGCTTTGCACAAGAAGCCTCCCAAACCATGAAGGAAACTCTAGGGAGAACTGTGGGAAGCCAAACCTTTTTCCCCGGAAAAGGAGAGGGGGTTGGCTGGCAGTTAGATGTTGAAAGAAAGAAGAGGTAGTGAGGGAACAATGTGGGGTTAAGGACCACATGAGCTTGTCCTCAATGGAGGGAGAGGCCCTCTGATCCTCTTATCAAGGTTGCAGAAATGAGAGCTTGTTTATCATGCACTAACCTAAAAAGAGAGGGGAAAACTTCACCAAGAGGTTTATTTCCCCACCAAAGGTCTGTCCATAATTTAATGGTATTCCCATTTCCAACTTTCAGTCTAAGTAGGGGAGAAAAAAGAAGCAAAGGACTGTAGAATACCTTCCAAGGATTTCCAGAGGAATGAGGTGGTAAAGGAAGAGAGTTGCACCGTCCCCAACTACTTCTACTATATTTGGTGCAGATGACTGAGGTCCATAGAGAGTTTTGTTTCATTTTGAACCTCCAAAGCCACTTCCAATGAGAGCCTGATTGCTTTTCGAGATGTGTCCCAACTCCCAAGCCTAGCCCACCTTCTTTTCTGGCCCTACAAACAGTTCACAAAGTGACAACCTTTCTCTCCTCCTCCCTCCCAGAGGAAATCTCTTTGGATTTTCTCCAATCTATTCCTAATCCTAGCTGGAACTTTGAAAAGAGAGAGGAAGTAGATAGGGAGGTTTGAGAGTGTAGCCTTGATTAGAGTTAGTCTACCACCTTTGGAGAGATAGTTCCGTTTCTAGGTACCCAGCCACCTCTCACATTTCTCAATGATAGTGTCTCAAAAACTTGTAGATCGTGGGTTTTCCCTGAGGGGTAGGCCCAGGTATGAGAAAGGAAGGGATTCCACCCTACATCCCAAAGCATCCTTCAGATTTTCCATAACTCTGGGGGGTGGGGGGGTATTGAACTATTGATGCCTATAATGCTACTTTTCTCCTCTAAATTTGTCTTCAGACCTGTTATTGCTTCATAACACTTCAAGATCCTCTTCAAATTTAAGAGAAAACCTTTCTTTGCTTCGACAAAGAAAATGGCATTATCTGCATATCAAAGATTAGAAATTTGGATGTTCCCATGCCCCACCAAAAAACCTTTTATAAGATCAAAATCTGTAGCCTTTTCATGAAAGCATCCAGAATGTCTGCTACCAAAGTAAGGAGAGGGGAGTGCAGGCAGCCTTCCCTTGAACCTCTAGAGGTCTTGAAGTAATCACCTGAAGAACCATTTACAGAGATTGTGAGCCGAGTCGAGCTGATGCAACCTCTCTTCCATTTAATCCAAACTTCTCTGAAACCTTTAAGCTCCAAAACCCTCCAAAGGCAATTCCAGTCTACCTTGTCGTAGGCTTTCTCAAGATCTATCTTGCAAATTACCCCACTTAACCTTCTCTCTTTTCTATCTTCCACCACTTCATTCGCAATCAAAACCCCATCCACAATTTGTCTCCTTTGGATGAAGGCACTTTGAGTAGGGGCTACTACTTCATTCAAAGCTTTCTTTAGTCTGTTTGCCAAAACTTTTGCAATTATATTATAAAGGCTACTTAGTAAGCTGATAGGTCTAAAGCCTCTGATCCTCAAACAACCTTCCTTCTTTGGGATTAATTTGAAAGTAGAGTTTGTACCTTTATTAATTTTAGCTGACCTGTAAAAGTGTACAAACACTTCCAGTAAGTCGTCTTTCACAAGATCTCAACACTCATGATAGAACCAACTAAGGAACCATCTGGCCTGGGAGCCTTATCTTCATTAATGGAGAACACTGCTTCTTTGATTTCCTCTTTATCAAATTCTCTTTCCAGCCAACTTCTACTTTCTTCTGACAACTTCTCACCATTCTAGGATACTAGGTTCAGCCTCCAATTCCTATAAGAAGAGTAAAGGTCCTTAAAAAATCAACAATCTCCTTTTTGATCTGAGCCAAGTCATCCACTTGACCATTCACCCGAAGCGTGGAACCTGATTTTTTCCTACTCTGAGCATTGGCATATCTGTGGAAAAATCGGGTGCTACCATCACCCTCCTTGTTCCAGTGGATTCTAGATCTGTCTCCAATATCTTTCCTCCCTATCAACTAAGGTCTCTCATTAAGATTGAACCCTAGAGAGAAGTCTGAATGCTACTTTCATATCTTTGATTCTGAAGGTGGAAGGAGCTACAAATATGAGGGATTTCAGACCTATAAGCTTGTTGAACAGCTTCTATAAGATCCTGGCCGAAGTTTTGTCTGAATGAATGAAGAAGGTTCTTAACTCGGTGATAGCCAAGAATCAATTTGCTTTTGTGCCGGAAAGACAAATGCTGGACAGTGTTCTAGTGGCTAATGAACTGATTGATTCAAGGAAAAGGGAAGGAAAACCTGGGCTGCTGTGCAAGTTAGACTTGGAAAAGGCCTATGATCACTTGAATTGGAGATGCTTGGATTTTGTACGGGAAAGAATGAATTTCGGGCAAAAATGGAGAAATTGATTAAAGTATGCACCACTTCTCCAAAATTTTCAGTCTTGGTTAATGGTCAGTCGGCTGGCTTCTTCAAGAGTTCTAGAGGTCTTCGGCAAGGAGACCCCCCTCTCCTCTTCTATTCATTTATGTGATGGAGGTTCTCTCTGCCTTTGTGAACAGGGTAGGAGAAGAGGGCCTATGGCAAGGTTTTGAAGTTACTCCAGGTGGAGAAAAGGTACAATTGCTTCAATTTGCTGATGATACCCTATGCTTCATTGATGCTAATTTGGAGCAATTGGGTGTGCTTCTTGGGGTGTTGTGCTGGTTTGAAGTAGTTTCAGGCTTGAAAGTCAACTGGGTCAAGATCAGGTTAATTCCAGTGGGAAAGGCGAAAAATATAGAAAACCTGGCAGAGGTGTTTGCCTGCCAAGTTGGATTCCTCCCAACTACTTATCTTGGTCTTCCTCTGGGGGCTAAATGTACCTCCTCTTTGATTTGGGAGCCGGTGGTGGAGAGGTTAGAAAGGAAACTGGCAGGTTGGAATACCAAATATCTCTCTGGGGGGAAGAATTACTCTACTCAAAAGTGCTTTATCAAATCTTCCTTCCTATTTTCTGTCTCTCTTCCCAATGCCAAGAAAAGTAGCCCAAAGAGTGGAAAAATTGCAGAGGGATTTTTTATGGGAAGGGTGGGAAGAAGAGAAGAAGATTCACTAGTTAGCTGGGATCAAGTTTGTGCTCCAAAAGACAAAGGTGGACTAGGGATCAGAAAAATGAAGGTCTTCAATAAGGCTCTTTTGGGGAAATGGATTTGGAGATTTGGCA